GCAAAATCTACCATCAGCTGTTCGCCTCGTATTTTTGATGAAATGCTCTTCGCATGCAATCTCATCATCGCTTAATAAATTAGCCTTTGGTAGCTCCTCAAGTTCCCAAAACATTTTTAATTGATTGTCGATAGCTTGTGTAAAATTGCAATGAATTAAATTGTCTCATTTTGAATTATTAGAGTGCATAAGTCCCGAAACAATAATCTCACCCTAACTTTGTATTTTGAAGGAAAGGTCCATTTTGCAAGCGCATCCTTCCTTCACTTAACAAGTCCCAAAACATGTCCGCACCAATTAAGATATCTATTTGTTGACTTTCATTAAAGTGCGCATCGGCTAACTGAATGTTGTTAGGTAATTGTAAAAGTTCGCTTTGTATAGAAACGGGTGGCAACGAAGAAGTTATCTCGGGCAGCACGAAGCATTGTAAGCGCGTAATAAAAGTGCCAGCTATCGCTTTTATTTCAACTTCACATGATTGCGCACTGTGAGTTATAGAATTTCCGACACCTTTAATGTGAGTAGTGGACTGTATGGTAGGAATGCTAAGTAAATCGCATAATCGCTTTGTGATAAAACATCGCTCGCTTCCACAATCGAGCAGAGCGCGCGCGATGTGACGTTTACCGTCGTTGGATACTATCTCCACCTGAGCCGTTGACAATAATACAAGATTCACACTAGTTAATTGCTCGCTTCGTATATCTAAGTGTGAAGTATGCGCGTATGTATAACTTGCAACGGCGTTCGCATCGGAGGAGTTGTTTACGCTTAAGCCTTGTTCGCACTTGGCGAGTATTTTAGTCGAGTACCGAGTAATTTAGTAGCTAAATGTGTCTGAACACCAAAAATTTAGTCGAGTAGGTTAGTAAATAATTTAGTCAAGTCAATCCATTTTGTTCTATTTTTTCGGGCGAGTAGCGCCTCCCACCACGCGTCCTTGCTCACTGGCTCACTGACTAAACAAGTCCGAACCTGTTGATTAGTCGAGTTCATTAATAGCCACAAAAATGACGTTTCGCTGGAGCGAAGAAACATCTTTAAAATTTGTTTCCAAATATGTACACCATGAATGCTTGTGGAATATTAAGTCCCCGCATTATAAAAACAAGCAAATGAAACTATCCGCATATTTAGATTTAGAAAATACTATGAATATACCCGGATTTGGTGAAAAGGAAATTAAATTGAAAATTAAAAGCTAATCGTAATGTCTATTTTAGAAGAGGTGGATGAGGAAATTTCTGTGATTCAGAAAAAGAAATTATGGGTACGAAAATGGATCGATAGAAGAGATAAACTAGGAGCTACTAATTGTCTTCTGAAGGAATTAGCATTCGAAGATCCCAAAGAATACTTCGATAGTTTGATGGTTCCCCCCGAAAAAAAAGAAAGGGTTGTGGGTTGGGTGAAAATTTTCCTTATTAACGAAAATACCACTCCCCCCCTCAAATTTCAAGCGGTAAAAAAGGGAAAAAAAAATACCTCCCATTTTTTTTGAAGGAGTGGGCGGAATTTTTCCGGGGGGCAAATTAGCAAAAATTTACAAGTAAAGTTTCCATTATACTTTCCCTTTTGCGGCTAACTGGGGGAAATGTAAAAGTCTTTTAAAGATTCCACCTCCCCAAACAACAAATAACTTTTAGACTCGCGGAAAAATCATACCCCCTTATTTCCGAATTCATCATCGAAGTTTGTGAAGCAATTTATGAATCATTAATGGAATTTATCAAGGTAAGATTAAATAACTGTAACAGATTTATTATAAAATATTTATTTATTAAGAGAATAATTTTTATTATTTTTAGGCATTTTAATATAAGTATTTTGTTTGCTCCCATCACTTTTGATTGTCAACGTTAGCGTTCTTTTTCATTCAGTTGCTTGCTCTTCCAAATTATATGTACTGGTGTCATTAAAATATATTGAACAATCGCTATGTGGTGAGAATCCCCCCATAGCCCCAAGAAAATGAAAAAAACCCCCTGTGGGCGCCCCCGGGGGGTTCCCCGTTTCTTTTTTGGGTTACAAGATTCATTTTTGAATTATGCGCCCTGGCCCCCGGGGGGGGACCCCGAAAATTTTTTTTCCTGAATTGTATTTATATAAAGTTGAATTTGTTCCTGTGCTTCTAATGCCAATAGTAAGGGTAAAGATTTCAGTTGAAGACCGACGTGTTTACCGAAGACCTCAAACTCATTTTCTTCGACTGTAGAATTATTACTATCAATTATTTCTTTTAATTGGCCAACCATGCTCGAGAGCTGGGCGATTTTCCTCTTTTTTGTCGGAGGTGGAGGAGGTGTAGGATTACGAAAAGTATCCACTACAGGACTCTGTTTTCTTTTCTTCCTCAGTATCTGCATCATTAGTGTGTGACCTATTCGAAGCCTGAAACAAACAAAATGCAATTACATCATATCAAAGATACTCATGAACATAATTTTTTTTTTCAGATTCCCACTTTTACAGACTGGAAAATAATTGAAAATGGTTTTCGAGAACAGTGGAACTTTCCAGGGTGTTGTGGAGCAATCGACGGCAAACATGTCGTCATTAAGGCACCCCCTGAATCAGGAAGTTTATACTACAATTACAAAGAGACAAACAGCATTGTCTTAATGGCTGTTGTAGCACAAATATTGCTTTAAGTTACATAGACGTTGGGTTGTAATGAGAAGGGTTTCTGATGGAGGCGTATTTCGATAACTGTAGTTTGTTACGAGAATTAGAAACGACGGTTGTTCTACCAGGGAGGGTTCAGGTTCTTAGTTGTGCGACAATGCTTTCCCTTGAAAGAATATTTATTAAAATCCTTTTCCAGGAAATCGATTAACGCTACAGCAAAAATTTTTATTATTATCGTTTGTCTCGGGCTAGAAGAAAGTCGAAAATGCCTTCGGTTCATACTGCTGCCGATTCAGGTTTTGAGGAAACGATGCCTCTATAGTCCTGAACAAATTGTTAAGATCGTAAAAACCTGTTGCGCTTTACGAAATTGGCTTCCGACAAACAAAATTACAGAACAGACAGTATGAATAACCAGTAGACTCTGATTTGAAGCATGGACTAGCGTTCCTGGTGAATTGAGAAATGAGCCACAATCTCTCGGAATGCAACCAATACCTATTTCTTTAAGTATCGTTCATCCAATGTCTATTAAATCGGTCGGAGAAATATGCAAATTTTTTGTCGGAAGGCGGTCTATCCCTTGGCAGGCAGAACATGATATTGAAAACTACCGGCCTACCAATACTTACAGTCTAATTAATTAATATAATTATTTTTTAATAATGTGTATAAGTAAGCTAGATAGCAGTACTTCACCAAATTTATTTCACTTTGTGTCAGTGTTGAGGTTAAGTTTCGAAGGGATGCATCCAATAAACTGAACCATTTTACAGAAGGAATATAAATCGTGTCGGTCCCAGCGCCTGAACTTTTGGAGTCCTTTATTTTTTTTAACTCCTGCGAGTAAGTCGATCTATAATAAAGGAATGGATCTCGTTAGGTAAAACTACTTCTCAAAACAATAGGTAGTAATAATAATTAAGAGCTTATTGTATCATAGTAATAAATATGCTTTTCAAATAACTTAAAATAATAATAAATTATGCACTAACCTGATGTTT